GCCCTGAATAGCGCTGTTTCCTGTGCGGGTCAGTCCTCGATTGCATGAAATATGATGCCCGTACACTATACTTTAAAACGAAAACTGTAAGAAATTAATCTTTCCCATAAATTTAATTGGAGGGTTGCTTTCATGTATGAGAAATAAAGCATTTATTCTATTTACCCCCAAATAGCCGTCTGAGTCGTTAATGGAGCTTTTTTATAATCACTGCCGCACTCATCAGCAGCAAAAATATGTTATATTAAATTATATGTAATTAGAACATATATTGTTGTTTAACAGAATGACTACACTGTTATGATGTGACGGCATAGGGTCACATGTCCACGTTTGATATAGAACGCTATATCAGTTTGATCCAGTGGAGTTTCCTGGCCATGCTTCGGGACTGGGGACTGGACCCCACCAAGGGAATCACGTAGGGGGTGCATGTCTTCCTCCTCGCTGCCCTTTCTGTTCTCTGTGTCATCTCCTCAGGTGAAGGAGTAAACCGTTCCAGGGACAACCTTCAGCTCACATGGTATCAGATGAAAGACTGAATAATGGACTGACTCTAAAGAATGGTGGGGCGGGGCGGGGCGGGGGGGGCGGATCCTTGACGGCTGAAGAATGTTCTGGAAAATGGAGGCCAACCAGCAATTGCCTTTGAGAGAACCCCACCCCCCACCCCCCTCAAGGCCTGAAATAAATAAGAGGAGCAGCCAGGCTGCATGAGAGAAACGGAGCAGGGAAGAGGGAGATCATTACCGTGGAGAGTCACCTGGCCAGCAGCGCTGGGAGGCAGCCTGGAGCCATTAGGCTACCAAGTGAGTCGGAACGTGGGCTCTGGGTGTGGGGGGGGCACAGGGTGCCTGTGAGCTCGGTCCGAGAGGAGCTGGGAGATTCAGACACATCGTGATTATTATTGTTTATCGGAACAAAGTGCCTGGTTGCGAAAGATAAACGACGCCTGTTTGTTCAAAACTGAAGCTGTTGACGTTGTTGTGCGGCATCAATTTCCAGCCAGGCGATCGTCTGCGAGGGAAAAAGAGGTACGGTGCAGAGAAGTCAATGTTTACACCTCAGACTTAAAAAATGGTGAAGACACGAGATGCTCTTTCGTTCAGGAAGGAGTCTGGCATCAATGGTAAAGTGATCAAGGAGACTGGCGTGGTCCAATCTTCTTGAGCTGAGAGCTATCTATCCCTAGGTTGCCGATCGTGGTCATTTAAACTCCATCACTAATATAACAAAACACTAACATATATTTAATATAGTTGTAACAATATTACACATCACCCATCACACATCACTTTGCATTGCACATCACCCGATATTACACATCACCATATATTGCACAATGCATACTATTTCTTAAATTGAACTATCCTTTGCACATTGTTTTGTTCAGTTTATGTTTACACTGTGGTCCCTGAGTTTCACCATTTAATCTCTCTGTATACTTATATGTAGTGGAGATGACAAAGTTCACTTTGACCCAACCTTGAACGAAGGTGGTCTGCATGGCTGTGACTTCGTTTTCTCCGCATGTTCTTTCACAGACTAGCAGGTGGCCACCCTGGTGCTGCTCCTGGGGGGGTCTGTGATGACCCTGTCGGCCTTCATCGTCGCCCTGATCTCGCTGTGCCGGGGCACTCACAGGAAGTGCTGTCGCACGGTGGCCGTCTTCCTCTTCACCGCAGGCAAGGCTTTGCCTGTTCCTCACCTTCTCGTGTTCGTATCTTTGTCCTTCTCATGCTCCTTGAGCTTGACAACATTTCTGCACAGTGTCACCGCAGCCCTGGTCTCCAGCTTCATTGCACCAGGCTTAATGAGCATGGCGTACCTTCTCCTGAGGGGTTAGAGACAGAGCCAACGGATCTGCTGAGGTGCGGAAAGCAGATGTCTTACAAGGAGCGTAACGTCTGACATGAGCAAAGGGTCTGGTGTCCTAAGCTGCCATCACATCACCATGGCTTCTTGTTCTGCATATTAATTGCAGTGTCAGTTAATGGAAGACCCTTATTACCTGTCTCAGGAGGATCAGACAAGCCCCACTGAATGCTGACAATTACCACAAAAAAATCAACTGTGTAAATTCTTGACTATAAAGAATTAAAAGTGATTGTGTAGGTGATCAATAGTTCTTCCCTGTTCTTGCAGATCACAAGAGGGATCAAGAGCATGTATGTAAGTGCTCTCATTGTAACACACTGCCCCCTTGTGTGCTGGAGGGGAACTGTCATCGGCCATCTCCATCATTCAAGTTTCTGATAGTGGCCCAGCCTTACAGGGGTGAAGCACTGTACTCTCCAGAGAGATGATTCGGCCTTTACCTGCCTTAGGTAGCCCAGGTCAATGCCAGACAGCAGCTTACAGTTTCTCTACAACCTGTCAAGAAAATTCCAGGTTTGCAACAGATCATATTTGAAACAATATCAGCCTGTACAAGAGTTTCAACACCGGGACTGCTGGAGGGGTGGAGATGTTCTTTCCGGAGAGTCTAATCTCACATTAGTGAGTTTCACAAGTGCTTCTCTCTGAGCACATCCATAGTGATCCTGTCTTCTCTGAAATCTGAACTTGGCTGGTATGAAAATTCTATCAGCAAAGCCTAAAGAACTGCTGGCCCATGGGAGAGATTAGACTCCTAATTTGGATAAAATGCTTCATGTCATTATTCTCAGGCATAAACTGTATCACCCATAACAACTGCACCCACCTCCACCCAAATCCAGTGGAGACCAAGCTCGGTGTTTACAGACAAAGCTTATGATGGGTCTTTAACCTGGTAGGTTTTGTTCCCTGTAGCACACGTCATCTCAGTAGCCTCGTGGGGTTCTTTTCCCTGTAGATCTCAAACGTTAGACGTTCGAATAGCAGCCAGCAGCATTCTGTGGCCTGTAATGACCCCTAGTGGTGAGGCAATGTAACTGTGGTTCTCTAAGTACTGCTAAGTGTATCGTGATTCACTCTGTTATGGTAGTTACACTTGAAGGCTGTGTCACAGGTAATATTAATGTGATTGTGCTCTTTCAAAGGAGTATTTGGCATTTAGCAAGCTGAGATATCTAATCAGTAAAATTATTTTTGTTGCAGTGTTTGGGTTGCAGTCTTTCCACTAGAGGGAAATGTTGTACCATGCTTTGGGTATTCCCTCTCCTGATTGTAGCTTCTCAGCTCTGGGTTTAAGACACAACATGATGAAACAAGATTTCAGGTATTGATCCCCAAGGTCCCAGTAGTAAAACACACACACACACAAACAGTCATGTACCCATATTTTTTTGGGGACCGCTCATTCATTTATATGGGACAAATGCTAATGCTCACTATGACAACCTTAGCCCCTATCCAGCTCTAACCATAACCATAAGTAACCAAACAAAATACCAGAGTTTTTGCATTGCAGTCACAGATTTTTATAAAGTAGAGTTTTCCCATATGGGGAGCAGGAAACTGGTCCCCATAAAGTAAAAAAAACTTTAATTGGTCCCCACAAGGTAAGGTATACCTGGACCACACACACACACATTGGCATACCTCTCTAAATGGAGACCTTCCATTCATTTCTATGGGGAAAAACCCTGACCATAACCACGACACCCTTAACCTCTACCCATCCCTAACCTTAACCAAAAGTTACCGCAAGACTTCTGGCATTTTTACTTTTTTGATCGCATTCACAGATTTTTGTAAAATTGAGTTTACAAATAGGGACCTGTAAAATGTCACCAAAGGTGAGGAAATTTCAGATTTCACCACACTTCAGAGGAAATTTGGTCCCCGCCCCCCGCACCACACACACACACACACACACACACACACACACACACACAGGAAAATTATATACTACTCGATCATTTGATACCCCTTAATCCTTTTCAGGGTCATGAAAAGTGCCTGTTTAACATTGTGTTACATATCTATATTGTAACATTAAATATCTAAATTGAAAGGACCCTTTCACCTATGAAGACGCCTGATTTTGATTGAACATTTGAGTTCATTGCACCCACAGTATGGTGGCATGATGATGTGACTCAATCCTTCACTCCCTCCCTCCGCGACCCTCCACCTCACTCCTGCTCCCAGTGCACCACAGAAACCACTTTACTTGCACAACTGCAGCTGGACTGGTACCAGGACCTAGCCTCTTTGTACGATATGCTTTTGGGACTGGGCCCGGTCATCATCAGCCAATGGTTCCAAAGGGCATCTATGGCATGATCCTAATTGACATGACCCCCCCCCCCCTTCACTGTCCAGTCGGCCAAGGCCAAATCTCTACAAAGAAGAAATATTTTGTGGGTTAAAAATAAATAAAACCCTGAATATTGAAAAATACTAGAAACAGTGTGCAGGCTATTAATAAATCTGAGCTCCACAAAGGGTCTGTATATTCCAGAGTTTCCGTTGCCAGAGGAACCTAACTAGCGTGGCACGGTGTCCTCACACCCAACAAAGCTCTACATTCACGGTCTGCCCCGCACGGGCACTCCAGTAAGGAGGCCTGGTACCTCTACATCTCATCCAATGTCTTTCGTCTTGTGCCCTCCACCGGAAACTAGATATGTCGCGAAGTAATATATGCACGCGTTAAGAAGTATACTTGCCAGGTTCGTTAAACAAATGCATGACCGCTCGGCGACACTTCGTTTCAAAAATAAGGGGATGGCTCCCGCAACGCTCAGTCGGTTTCGGCGTGCTGCCTTCCAGCAGTTTTATGCATGGCGTATGTATCTTTAAAACGACATTTTGCAGCACAGACTGCGATTTCCCACTGATGCCTGAGAGCTGAGCGTGGGTAGCCCGGTATGCATCACCGGGTACACGTTCAAAGCCGTAGCACTCAAGTCGGGAACACCCCCGGATCAGACCATATCGAGGAGGTCACGTGGCGGCGAAACGCCCTGCACCGATTGGGCACGCCTCCGACACGGCGTTCGGCGTGGTCCCGCCTTCGACGCTCCGTTCTCGCTCTGATAGGCTGTCGCGCAGATCGGGTCAGAGGTCTACGGCCAGAAGTAACCCCATCGTCACATCACCCCACCGCCGCCGCCGCTGTCAAAGACCCTGCCGGGATCGCGCCAGGCGCCGACCTCCAGTACTGCCGTCGCCCCTCGCCGAAATATGCACAGCCGTGCCCTGGATTAGTCGCGTACGCTTCAGGATTGCTTGCCGATTCTTATCCCACGGTGAGTAAATGTGGATCCGGGCCGTTTCCCGGAAGGTACACCTGCAGCATCCCCGCTGGACCCGGCGGTTTAACGCTCCGAGTGCGGGCGACGCGTTTCACTTTGGCTGTGTGTTGGACGGAAAGCCCGGTTCATATGACGGGGAGCCCGATGCGTTTTCCCGTGTGTGTGTGTGTGTGTGTGTGTGTGTGTGTGTGTGACAGGCAGTCCGGTGCGTGTGACAAGGAGCCAGGTGCGTGTCGGGGAGCCCAGTGCATGTTCCAGTGCGTATGCCAAGGAGCTCGGTGCGTGTGCCGTGCAGCCCGGTGCGGGTTCCCATGCATGTGACAAGGCGCCCGGTGCGTGTTCCCGTGCGTATGCCGGGGATCCCGATGCGTGTAACAGGGAACCCAGCGTGTCCGTGGCTTTTTCAAACCGACCCGGCAATGCCTTTCTCCATCCCTGCTCCCAGCCCCGTCTCGGCCTGCCCGACCGCCATGAAGGTGTGTCCTGGCAGCAGTAGCGGAGGAGCCGGCTGCTCCGGTTCAGCCGGTCAGGCACGTCTCCCCGGGGGTTTTAACGGTGCCTGCTGCCGCTGCCCCTCTGCGGCTTCAGATCGTTGGGCTCACATGGGCCGGGGCTCCAATGCATGCGCCTGCCGGCTCACATGGGCCTGTCACAGGGCCTGGTGATGCGACGAATTATCATTATTGTAGTGGCTGCATTTGTCACCGCGATGATCATCTCCGCTTTTTAGTGGATGTCAACACCAGACTTCATTAAGCTCCTCTTTACACGCTCCGGCATCGCGTACAGAGGTGTGGTAAAGTGCGGTCGCGTTTATCTCCGCGCTGTGATAAATAACCTGAACCCCCATCAGCTGAAGGCTGCTTCTGTCCATGCAGTAACCTGCGCTTTTATTTTCTTTGATGTCTATCCAGAGTGAAGCCCTCAGGTCAGGACCAGCGGTAGGGACCTTACTGACCTAGTAAATCCATCAGATATTTGTGGGGGCAGTGTGGGCCTCAACATGTTTGGATGCTGGATCTGTGATCAGCAGGTTGCTGGTTCGAATCCCATGGTCGGCAAAGTGATTTTAGCCTGCCCTGGTCGCTGTAGAAAATTACAAAAGCGCCAGGGCGGTTTGCGGCGCGGTCGCCCAAAGCCACTGGCGAGTTTCCCGGGTGTCACAAAGAAAGCTGCTCTGACATGCAAGGAAACATAGTGAATGTTATTGTTAAGTCATAAGAATGACAAGGGGGATCTTGTGTTCTGAGGAATCTTTATTGGGAAGTGCTGACTCGCCCATAGTTGCATACTCATTCAGTTTGGGTGAAACTCATCACCTAAACGCCCCTCCGGGCAGACTGACACTGCTCCCGCTATCACCGGGTGGCGGTCAGACTTTGTCGGACAGGCGCGCCCTTCCGTTATCTTTATCATTGTTTCAACACAAGCTTTCAACACGCAGGGCCATTGTGAAAGAGGTGTGAAGCAACTTGACACTGGGCACTGGCAAGGGGCCCAGGTACTGAGAGTCACTGGGCGACCCATTTAACGAGGATATCCCCCCCCCCCCCCCACAGTTCTTACAGCCTGCCAAGGCCGCTCCACCATGGCAGAGGAAGCCCCCTCCATCACAGAACCCCCCGTCCCGGTGTCCCACTTTACCATCGGCACCGTGTCCGAGGAGAACTCGGAGGACGAGATTCTGGGCAGGACGGAGGTGCCGCTGGAGGACAAGGATCGCTCGCTGTCGCCTTCTTCCGTCAGCTCTGACGGCCTCTACGAGCCGGGTCTGGATCACATGGATGGGCCCCTGCACAACATGAGGTCAGATCCCCCTACGTTTACCTCCTCTGCCCCTCGCTCTCCTCTCTGAGAAGTCACTTTTATAGGCTGTGTGTGTATGTTTAGTCACTGCAGTGGTAGGTCAGGCTGGCAGTGGGCCGCTTAACTCTGGGTGGCCATTCCTTTTGTGGCCCCTTCTCTGTGCTGTGTGAAGATTCTAGAGGTGCTGAACAGGCTGCCACTGCCCCCTGGTGGTGAAAACCCTGTGGTGCCTCTCTGCAAAGGGCCGGTGTGTATACAGGTTTTTGGGATAACCTTTAGGTCAGCTGTTCAAACCCAGGAGTGATGACTCTTTATCCAATCAGTCCTCTAATTAGTAATCTAATTACAGACTCACAATGAAAATCCACATACACAACTGCCTATTCTGGGTAAGATTAGCCACCCCTGGATTAGGCTGTCCAATGACTGGGAGATGCCTGTTTGAGTGACTGGGTAAAAGGTTCAAACAGAGATATACCAGTGCCTTAAATAGTGAACTGGGGCAGTTGCTTTCATTCATCTTCTAACCCCTCTTCCTGGTCAGTGACATGTTGGGGCCTGGAGCCTATCCCAGCCTGGACAGGAAGCCAGCTCATTGTAGGGAACAAAGATACACTTTGCAGTGAGGGACTATGCCACCTTACTGACCTAGTAAATCCATCAGATATTTGTGGGGGCAGTGCGGGCCTCAACATGTTTGGATGCTGGATCTGTGATCAGCAGGTTGCTGGTTCGAATCCCATGGTCGGCAAAGTGATTTTAGCGCTGAGCCCCAGAGCAAGGCCCTTAACCCCCCCCCCACCCCCAACCGCTCCAGGGGCTGTCTGACCCTACTACCTCAAAAAACTGTGTGTGGCTTTGAATAGAGGTGTCAACCAAAAGAAACCCCCTAAATGTAGAATTAAAAAAATATTATTAGCTTCACATGCTAAATTTTACACAACTGGACCCATCGTCAAATGTTTGTGACATTCTTCCTCTGTTACAAAACAAGAGGGCAAGAGCTTTTACAGCAGAACAGAGGCCCCTGAGGAAACTGCTGCTTCATCGAGGGGGGTGATCGGTGTGATGAATTCCCACCCAGCCTGCCACACCTTTTGGCTTGAGTAATGTTACTGACTTGTTTGGTCCTGCACTGTCTGCCTGTGCTTTGTGGTGAATCGCCACTAGGGGGCTCTGGGCCCCAAGTGAGCCTGCACGGAATAAGCAGTTGAAGGTCAGATGGGTTATTATTGAGACTATTCTAGGGCAGGTTGTGTTCTGATCCTTGGCTGGGGGGGGTGTGGCGGCGCCAGTCCACACTGGCACGTCGGCGACCTTCGCCTCATTGAGGTTTCTTTGTGGCAGCAGCCTTGCTCTTTATCACGTAGATAAGAGTAGCACTGAGACGCATATACATCGACGGTGTGATGTGATGAACCAGGTCAAGCCTACTTCGCAGTAAATCCTGGTCCGTGCGTGTATGTGTGCACGTGCGTGTGCTCACGCTCGTCCTCGTGCTCACGCTTGTCCTCCCCCCAGGCCCAGCATGTCCGGCCTGCACCTGGTCAAGCGAGGTCATGACCGGCGGCGCATAGACCTGCAGCGTGACTTCACGGTGGCCTCGCCCGCGGAGTTCGTCACCCGATTCGGGGGTAACAAGGTCATAGAGAAGGTGAGTCTGGGGTCGAGGGTCAGGAGGTGGCGGGCTGGGTGTGTCCCCGGGGTCGGCCCGGTGCCTCACGCGCGTCTGCGCCTCCCGCAGGTCCTCATCGCCAACAATGGCATCGCCGCCGTCAAGTGCATGCGCTCCATCCGCCGCTGGGCCTACGAGATGTTCCGCAACGAGAGGGCCATCCGCTTTGTCGTCATGGTGACCCCCGAGGACCTGAAGGCCAATGCAGGTGGGTTGCCGGGGCGGCAGAGGACTTTGGGGGAGGAGTGAGGGCACCAGCTGACCGTGACTCTCCTTCCCACTTGTTGTTCTGCTTGAAGAGTACATCAAGATGGCCGACCACTACGTCCCTGTGCCGGGAGGCACCAACAATAATAATTACGCCAATGTGGAGCTCATCCTGGACATCGCCAAGCGCATCCCTGTGCAGGTGAGTCTGCTGGCCCAGCTTGGACCGGGGGGTAAATGCTAAATGATCTGGCCTGTAGACACACACTGATGTGTACCTTGTCCCCCCCCCGCCCAGGCGGTGTGGGCAGGCTGGGGTCACGCCTCAGAGAACCCTAAACTCCCCGAACTCCTGCATAAGAATGGCATCGCCTTCATGGGTGAGTCTGCTGCTTCTCCAGTCAGGCCCCGCCCACACGGCACGTCTCCCATGAGTCTTTGCCGCTTCCGTATTTACCCCCCTGCCTCCTTCCATCAGGCCCCCCCAGCCAGGCCATGTGGGCTCTGGGGGATAAGATCGCCTCATCCATCGTGGCCCAGACGGCGGGAATCCCCACGTTGCCATGGAGCGGAGCGGGTAACGGCCAAGTTTACGGTCACAGTCTGGAGCGGCTCTGATCATCGGCGGACGCCTGAGGTGACGGTCCCCATGTCTGTCACCCTCCTCTCCGCAGGCCTGACGGTGGAATGGACGGAGAGCGACCAGAAGAAGGGGATCGTCAACGTCCCCCCTGAGCTGTACGAATTGGGCTGCATCCAGGACGTGGAGGCGGGGCTTAAGGTAACCATGAAAATTGGCATCACGACGTCACTTTAAGTTTCAGCACGATTACTCACTGGTCTCCCGTTGTCAGGCGGCAGAGAAGGTCGGCTACCCGGTGATGGTCAAGGCCTCCGAGGGTGGCGGGGGCAAGGGCATCCGCAAGGTCAACAGTGCCGATGACTTCCCCAACCTCTTCAGACAGGTACGCTCCCCCGACCGGCACGGCGGCCTCCTAAACCGCACGTGATGATGGTGCTGACCCTCTGCCGGTGCCCCCCCCCCCCAGGTCCAGACGGAGGTCCCGGGCTCGCCCATCTTCGTGATGCAGCTGGCCAAGCACGCCCGCCACCTAGAGGTGCAGATCCTGGCCGACCAGTACGGCAACGCCATCTCGCTCTTCGGCCGCGACTGCTCGGTGCAGCGGCGCCACCAGAAGATCATCGAGGAGGCGCCGGCCACCATCGCCACGGCCGACGTGTTCGAGGACATGGAGAAGGTACCTGCAACTTCTTCGGCTCTCCGCGAAGGAGGTCGGACCATTTGTAGTAGTGGAGCAGAAGTGAGGAGGAGGCTTGATCGAAAGGTTTCTAGGGCATATACTTAACCAGGGGCACTCTAGAATTGAATAAGATTAAAGGGTTAGAGTTAAGGTTAGGGGGATAATTTATGCAGACGGGCCAACCTTCTCATTATCCAGTGATTTTGAATTGGTGTGTCACGGTGGAAGGGACCATCTGGGAGCCAATCAGCTTTCAGTTGGGAGCAGTACCCCTGAGGCACCGCCCCAGAATACACTAGTCTTCTTAGACCTTTTATGGAATGCTATTGTTGAATGCCAGGGGGGAGGGGACATCTTGATGCGGTGTTCCGATTGGCCCGGAGAGTTTTGATTGGCGCCCCTTATCTGCCAGTGTGCTGTGAAGCTGGCCAAGATGGTGGGCTACGTCAGCGCCGGCACGGTGGAGTACCTGTACAGCCAGGACGGCAGCTTCTACTTCCTGGAGCTGAACCCGCGCCTGCAAGTGGAGCATCCCTGCACAGAGATGGTGGCTGACGTCAACCTGCCCGCCGCCCAGCTGCAGGTCAGTGCGTGCATGTGCGCTGCCCTTCTACATGGTAACTGGATGACCTATGATCATGTGACTGCGGTAGCCAACACGATCGTGTCCCCTTCAGCCAATTAAAGTGGCAGCTTAGGGCCAAGTGGCCACCAGGGGGCGCCCCATCTTCTCAGCCTGTCAGAATGGAAAGCAAGGTGACAGATGACAACTAGGTTAACCAAATTTTTATTTAGGGCCCCAAAAATGGTTGGGGTCGGCCCTGCCTTCCAGCCCTGCTTGCCGGTTTCTGGTATTCCAAGGCGGAGAAGCAATCAGGACAGTAAGCTGACCATATCTCTGTGTCTGTGTCTGTGTCTGTGTGTGTGTGGGATCCTCCTATAGATCGCCATGGGAATCCCTCTCCACCGCATCAAGGACATCCGCATGATGTACGGCCTGCAGGCGTGGGGCGACACACCCATCGACTTCGAGGAGCTGTGCACGCACCCCTCCCCTCGGGGGCATGTCATTGCTGCCCGCATCACCAGCGAGAACCCAGATGAGGTAAATCTCCCTAAGAACCCAGATGAGGTAAATCTCCCTAAGAACCCAGATGAGGTAAATCTCCCTAAGAACCCAGATGAGGTAAATCTCCCTAAGATCCTGTGGTGGGTTCTGACATGAGGACTGTGTGGGTCTTAGGCACGTCCAGGGTGAATTCTGACCTGTCAGTCTGGTGGGGTTCTATGTCGCTTTTCCAATGGCATAGAGGAACGAACCCGTACAGCAAAGAGAGACTAGTTACAGCGCAGTTCCAGCTCACTTCGGAACCGTGCTCAGTAAACCCGTAGGGCCATATCAGCGAGGGTATCGCTCTGTACTGCTTGCATAATTTACAGTGGAAAATCGTCAGTTCCCCGGTACGGCTGTGTAAAGATGTTACTGGGTTCGAGAAACGACAGTGACATAAAACCGAAGGCATTCTTGTTTACTGTTCAGGATGTGTACCTCATGATTTGCTATGTGCAATTTTGTTTAACTGCGTGCCAATTTCCGCAGAATCACCGCGTTGTGAAAGTATCAAACTCTTGCAGAATAGGTGTTTGCTTGCGTAAATTTGCTTTACGAATCCATTCCGTTCCGCTGTTCTGTAGTCCTTTTTTTAAGTAGGAGGTTTGAAATTTTGAAGTTCCAAGTGTGAACATCACAATGTGCAATACTACTAATAATGAGTAATATATAGAATATATGCTTTTTCCTTCAGATAATCCATGCACAGAACACTGACATTTTGACCAGTCAGATACTGGTGCTGCAACCAGCTTGGTTTGGTCACGCTGTGGACCCTGCTAGTTAGCGTGGTCTTGTCAGGGCGGTTACGGCTCGGGTATGACTCTCAAACTTTACAGTGGAAAACCGCCACTTTGCAGTATGGCTTGATTCTCCTTGGTAGTGGTAAAAGTGCCATTAGACAGGTCCAGGCTGGTTCTGGCGCAGGGTCCCAGGATGGGTTCTGACCTGGGTCGCCAGGCCAATTCTGACACAGGCCTCGTTGTTCAACAGGGGTTCAAGCCCAGTTCCGGCACCGTCCAGGAGCTCAACTTCCGCAGCAATAAGAACGTTTGGGGCTACTTCAGCGTGGCTGCGGCGGGGGGGCTACACGAGTTCGCTGACTCCCAGTTCGGCCACTGCTTCTCCTGGGGGGAGAACCGGGAGGAAGCCATCTCGTGAGTGGAACCTCTGGGCCTCTGTGTGTCTCCGTCTGAACGCAGCACCTTCGGTAAGGAGGCTACTGCACTTGCCTTCTTCCAGGAACATGGTGGTGGCCTTGAAGGAACTCTCCATTAGAGGGGACTTCAGGACCACAGTGGAGTATCTCATCAAGCTTCTGGAGACGGAGAGCTTCCAGCATAATAGCATCGACACGGGCTGGCTGGACCGGCTCATCTCAGAGAAGATGCAGGTGTGTGCCGCGTGTCGCCACGGGAACGTGTGGCCGTTTGACGGCGTGTGACCTGCGTCCCCTTTGGCTGCGCAGGCGGAACGTCCCGACACCATGCTGGGCATCGTATGCGGGGCTCTGCACGTGGCAGACGTCAACTTAAGGAACAGCGTCTCCAACTTCCTGCACTCTCTGGAGAGGTACAGACTGCGGCGCTTTCCACCAGTGCCGTGAGAGCGGGGTTATGGGACGCCGTCGTCCTCCCTGACCTCTGACCCCCGACCCGCGACCTTCCCACAGGGGTCAGGTGCTGCCGGCCCACACGCTGCTCAACACGGTGGATGTGGAGCTGATCTACGAGGGCACCAAGTACGTGCTGAAGGTGACGAGGCAGTCGCCCACCTCCTACGTGGTGATAATGAACGGCTCCAGCGTGGAGGTGGACGTGCACCGCCTCAGCGACGGGGGCCTGCTGCTCTCCTATGACGGCAGCAGCTACACCACCTACATGAAGGAGGAGGTAGACAGGTAAGGGGGTGGGGAGGCATTCCAAATCATAGGATGGCAGGTGGGACTCATTAATATTCATATAGGAAGCTCTGCCTGACTGGCCAATGACTAGGATGGCAGGTGATCACTCATTAATATTCATAAAGGAAGCACTACCTGATTGGCCAGTGAGTAGGATGGCAGGTGATCCCTCATTAATATTCATAAAGGAAGCACTACCTGATTGGCCAATGAGTAGGATGGCAGGTGATGACTCATTAATATTCATAAAAGCCCTACCTGAATGACCAGTGCATGGGATTGCAGGGGACAACTCATTATTGTTCATAAAGGAAGCGCTGCCTGATTGGCCAGTGAGTACAATGGCAACTCAAGAAACTGTTACCTGATTGGCGTGGTGGGAGGGAGCATAGGGAGTGCCCGCAGGGCCATGACGCTCCTCCCTCTGGCAGGTACCGCATCACCATCGGCAACAAGACCTGCGTGTTCGAGAAGGAGAACGACCCGTCGCTTCTGCGCTCGCCTTCTGCGGGGAAGCTGATCCAGTACACTGTGGAGGACGGGGGCCACGTGTTCGCTGGCCAGTGCTACGCGGAGATCGAGGTGTGTGGGGGGGCATTTAGGGGCTGTTGAAGGGCTTCCAGGGCCCTCAGTTCAGGAAGGTGCAGCATGGCCCATGTACACCGCCCGCCCACAGGTGATGAAGATGGTGATGACGTTGACGGCCATGGAGTCGGGATGCATCCACTACGTGAAGCGGGCGGGGGCTGTCCTGGAGCCAGGGTGCGTCATCGCAAAGCTGCAGCTGGATGACCCGAGCAGGGTGCAGCAGGTAGGGAGGGAGCCGCGGGTGGGGCGGGTGGGGCGGTTGTCGTGTGGGGCTTTGTCGTATGACGGCTCCCGGTTGTGTCTTGTAGGCGGAGCTTCACACAGGCAGTCTGCCCCAGATCCAGTCGTTGGCCCTTCAGGGAGAGAAGCTGCACCGAGTCTTTCACAGCACGCTGGACCACCTGGTCCACATAATGAGCGGCTTCTGCCTGCCCGAGCCCTTCTTCAGCGGCAAGGTGAGCGAGTGCTGCCCCCTGCAGGCCTGGCTAGGTATGCGCCGCCGTTTCCAGATTCGGCTCAAGTGCGAGCGAGTGCTTGTGTGCGGCCACAGCTGAAGGAGTGGGTGGAGAGGCTGATGAAAACCCTACGAGATCCGTCCCTCCCGCTCCTGGAGCTACAGGACATCATGACCAGTGTGTCCGGACGTATCCCGCCTGCTGTGGAGAAATCGATTAAGAAGGAGATGGCCCAGTATGCCAGCAACATTACATCTGTGCTCTGTCAGTTCCCCAGTCAGCAGGTGAGTCCCGTGGTCCCTCTGAGATCACCGTGCGTCGTCGTGGTACAGGTGGTTGCGTAGTGTGTGTGTGAGACTAACCATCCCTTCCAAACCAGATCGCAAACATACTGGACAGCCATGCTGCTACGCTGAACCGCAAGTCTGAGAGAGAGGTCTTCTTCATGAACACTCAGAGCATCGTTCAACTGGTGCAGAAGTGAGTTTTCCAGGGAGGGATGTGTGGCTGGGCAGGGGGTGGGGTTCACCTATAAACAATGTGCGGTTTCTCGTTGGCTGGGTTTTTATAGTTCCACCGGTGGAGTTTGCTTGGTGTGACGTGCCGTTCTCCCACAGGTACCGCAGTGGAATCCGCGGGCACATGAAAGCGGTCGTAATGGACCTGCTTCGACAGTACCTGAAGGTGGAGATCCAGTTCCAGAGCGGTGAGAAACTGAGCAGTGGTTTTGTGAGCCTTGCAAATTCAGTCACTTGACGCTGATGGACTATCCTAGCCAGCGATGGCTAGATACCAGGGTCTTCTGCTGGTCAGTGATGGCTAGATACCGGGGTCTTCCCCTTGACCAACAGCGGTTCTTGTGTTAACTATGGAAATATGACTTGGATTATATTAATATCCCCACACTGGTCCCTGTCAGATCCTTAACCACATTATCTGACTGCCCCGCCAGGACACTATGACAAGTGTGTGTTCACACTAAGAGAGGAGAACAAGGGAGACATGGCTAATGTCCTCAACTACATCTTCTCACATGCCCAAGTCACCAAGAAGAACCTTCTAGTCACCATGCTTATTGTGAGTCTCCCTGTCCACATCCGTTGCTCCGTATCTCGGCTCTCATTTGCAGTCACGCCCGGGGTGGCATAGAGACCTGGTATCTCCCATAATGCCCTTCAAAGTTGGCAGTGACACTGTTGTTAAACTTCCCAGGACCAGCTGTGCGGCAGAGATCCCACCCTAACGGACGAGCTCATGGCCATCCTGACGGAGCTCACTCAGCTGAGCAAAACCACTAATGCTAAGGTGTCGCTGCGGGCACGGCAGGTAAGCTGCAGCCAGGGGGCGCTGTTAGGGACAGTTCCTATTCAGAACTCTTGATTCTTGAACGGTGAACCTTTCGGTAGCCCTGCCCTTGTTGGCTGTGCACAAAACTACCCCTGTCGTCCCCAGGTGCTAATTGCCTCTCACCTGCCATCCTACGAGCTGAGGCACAACCAGGTGGAGTCCATCTTCCTCTCTGCCATTGACATGTACGGCCACCAGTTCTGCATTGAGAACCTGCAGGTAGGACACCCTCTGCTTCCCTGCCGTCCTCACCTCCTGATCTGGGGGGGGGGGACTCACTGTGATGCCCTTGGGATGCCATGATAGATACCTGCTACCCTCCCTGACAGAAACTCATCTTGTCGGAGACGTCCATCTTTGACGTGCTGCCTAACTTCTTCTACCACAGCAACCAAGTGGTCCGGATGGCTGCACTGGAGGTAAGGGGTCCTGACCCAAACTTCCCCCTCACCTACCTCCTCAGCCCCCTCCCCCCTGAAAGTCTAGGGACTTCCCAGTGTCACCTGCTGCTCGTCAGTCAAAGAAAGGACAAAGGCAGAACATGGTTGTCTTTAAGAAGCAGTTTTGGTTTTCTCCAGTAGTCCAGTCTGATCCAGGTGGGTGTGATGGTCCGTGGACCTCACAGTAATGTGTTGGGTCTGATCCTCCAATGGTCCCGCCCCCAGGTATACGTACGCAGGGCGTACATCGCCTATGAGCTCAACAGTGTCCAGCACCGGCAGCTGAAAGACAACACCTGCATCGTGGAGTTCCAGTTCATGCTGCCGACCTCCCACCCTAACAGGTACCCACAATGCACTGCAGCATGGCCGAAGGGGAGGGGGCGGAAACCTGCCTGTGGCCCTCTCTCCGTCGGCCAATGTGATAAGGGAGGTGATCTTGGTCCTCGAGGTTACGGGGGTTTCTTCTCCTAATGGTTAGTGTTGGGAAAGGACTCTTCCTTGCGGAACATGAATAAATAAAGTAGCACCCCCGCAGGCCTGGAGGACCAGTATCACCCCTGTCTAATTTATGTACTAGACCAGGCCACCTTCAATTTGACACATTAGGAGGTCAAAACAATAAAAATGAGAAGGTATGTAAGACCGGATCTGAGATCACCATAAATGTTCTTGCCTGAGGCTCCTGCCCATTCTTTGTTAGCCGGGAGCTCGGCCTCCAAAGGTTAAGACCTAATCCCTGCTTCCCGCTCCCGCCCCCCCCAGAAAAGTAACGACTAAAGGCTACAATGCTAACAATCTGAAAAGTGGTCCCTGAATTGTGGCCAGCTAACCTACTAAAACAGCAGCTTGCACTGGGCTTCACTGGGCTTCACTGGGCTTCACTGGGCTTCACTGGGCTTCACTGGGCTTCACTGGGCTGCTGCCCCCTGACTTGTCCTGTCTTTGTCTGCTACATGCTTTACATCTCACCAGTAGCCTGGCTGTGTGTCTGCATTTTTAGTGTCTTTAGATGAGTACAAAAAAAAATTTCAATTCCAGTTTCCTGCCAGATGTAAATGCATGATGAAGAGGAGGGGAGTGGCCGTTGCTCCTGTGCTTGTGTGCGGCCGTTCGGGATCGCTCGTCTCGCTGGTACCTGCGGGTCGGTGGGGCTGGTGCTGACAGGCCGCCGTAACCCCCCCCCCCCGCCGCTGCTCCCGCCTTGGCGCTGGCGTGTTCGGCTGGCTCCAGCGTAGCCCTGCCCAATCAATCGGTGATCGTTTTGTTTGGACTGAATGCCGCACACAGCACCAGCGATCCCCGGCTGCCTCCCCCTGACTTGTGCCTGCCACTAACCGATGAGTAATTAATGTCGTTTGATTGCAGAGGGAACATCCCCACCTTAAACAGGTACTGTACACTTTCCTTCTATTGACCGGCAGGGAGGAGGGGCTTCGATTCCTTCCAGAGAGCAAACCGCAGACGGTCAGACGCAGCCGATAAGGGGAAAATGCTCCCGGGACCCCGGCTTTGTTCGGAGGCTAATTGCTGCCTAAATAAGTAGCTACTGGGAGAACTACAGCTAAGAGGTGATCAGGGGCCCAGGAGTGTGTACAGGGGGCAGGGCCCAAGCTGGATTGATTGGTCCATGGAGCGCCTCTCCCCTGTCACTCAATAATTCAAAACATATTATTGGCTAATGGTAAGATTGGCCCCTCTGTATGAATAATGGCCCTTATGTTGCCACCTTAAAAAAATCCTAGAGTGACTCCTGTCCGGGCCAGAGCTCAGAGGCTCCCTCCCTGTCTGACCGTGCTGCTGCTTGTAGCAACCAGCCCTTGATGGGGGCAGGTTGACACCAGCATATTTTACTGCAGAATGCTGGTTATGTGTATGTAGTGGGGGATTATGGGTAATCCGTATGTGTTTATAAAGCATGTCTAGTGTCTTCTGTCCTGTTAAATTGCTAACATTGGGAGTATTGGACAGGTGACATTAGAAATATTTAAAAATCTTCCCCTTCATTATTTTGGCACCTTCTGGGCTTCTGAAGGAAGTGCAGGAAGTTAACAGTCCTAGTTTAGTGAAAACAGTGGAAGAAAATTTGGTCAAAATTTAAAATGTGGTTGAAGTGTGCTTTTCCACACCTGTCTGTTGGGGGTATTGGACTCATCGTGCCCCTCCCCCCCCCCCTACCAACACAAGGCGCAGGTAAGGCTGCCATACCTGGAGACGCTGCTGAAAGCACCGCTGTGGAGAAGTTGAGCTTGCTATGCACCGCTCTGGATGTAGATGATCTGGAGAAGTAGGTGAGCATGGCCGCCTGCCCCTGCTGACCGCGTTCGTGTCGTGCCCCCAGAACGTCATTCGGCTCCAACCTGAACCACTACGGCATGGTGCACGTGGCGAGCGTCAGCGACGTCCTGCTGGACAACTCCTTCACCCCGCCCTGTCAGCGAATGGGCGCTATGGTCTCCTTCCGGTCCTTCCTGGACTTCACCAGGTGGGCTTCCTCCCGACTTTCTCGTTGAGGGTTCGAGGGTGTTACGTGTGTGAGAGCAACCAGAACCTTCCAGTTTTGCTCCCATTAAGTGTAACCTGCTACCGTTTTATTTGTGGGGGACAGTGGGTAGCGGGTTAAGACTCTGTTCCTGTAATCGGAAGGTTGCTAGTTCAAATCCCAGAGTCAGAAAAGTGAGGCCCTTAACTCTTGATGTATGCAGGGACTGTCTGATTGATTCTGCTTTCTCCTAAAACAAAAAAATAAAACTACCCCCCCCCCCTTCCCCTCCATTTCAGAAACATCAATGACGTGATGAGCTGCTTCTCCGACTCGCGGCCCCCCAGTCCCACCTTCCCCGAGGGTGGAAACCCAGTGCTGTACGGCGAGGACGACGGCAAGGTAGGATAGTCTGTTGGACCATAGGGTGGGTATCCGTGTTCGGAGAGAGAGCCACGTGTAAACCGATGCACGCGGCAGTTTGTGTTTTAGACCTTCAGCTGTGGGGTGGGATCGGCGCCCCCTTCCGTCAGGGAGGGCAGCGACGCCGGACTTTAAACGATGAAGTGACATTAGTCACCGGAGCCATAATTACACCGAACAAGGCTTTGTGACTCCTTAGTCTCTCCGGTGTTTGACTAATTACGTCTGCTGGGAAATGAAGAATGGAAGCAGACATTTATGGAAACAAAGAAAATGAAAGTTTCATTGAGGTATTAGTCAGAGAGACAGACGGAAATGAGGGGGGAGGCAGGTGTGGGGGTGTATAAGAGACCTTTTCCTCGGGACGTTTGCAGGGCGTACGGGAAGAGCCCATTCACATACTCAACGTGGCCATCAAGACTGACGCAGACATCGATGATGACGGCTTGGCAGCCATGTTCCGGGAGTTTACCCAGTCCAAGGTAAGGCCACGTCCCCCACCCCCGCACCCCCACTCCCGCCTCGAGGCTCCCCGCACACTGACGTCCCTCGTCTCTGTCCTCTCCAGAAGTCCGTTCTCTTTGAACACGGAATCCGCCGGCTCACCTTCCTGGTGGCTCAGAAGGTGAGAGCCTTCGATCGTTCTTTGACCTTTCGTTGCCCCCCCCCCCCCCCCCCCCCGCCAATGAACATCACTGAATTGAATGGATCTTATAAATCAAATCCCGTGTCTTGTTCAGCGATTGAGCTTTTAATTAAGCTAATTTACTGTAGCTTTCCCGTGTTGTGTCCCCCCCCCCCCCCCCCCCCCCCCCCCCCCCCCCCCCCCCCCCC